CTCGTCGTCCTCCTCATTCTCGGAACTTTCTTCCTCTTCGGACTCCTCCGACGACTCTTCCTCGCTGCTCGCTCTAGCCCCCCCGCCCCCGCCCCCGCCCTTCAAGTTCACGCCAAGGAGGGCGATATGCCTCACACTCACTGCGGTCGTCTTCTTGCTCCTCCTGATGCCGTCAGAACGCGTCCTCCCTGTGGCAGTTCCTCCCCCACATGGTCTTCGTGTGGAGATCCATGTACACCTTGCTGTGCTGCTTGAAATCCGTCCAAAGATCGCAGAGCTTGCCCTCCTTCGTCACTAGTTGGTTCGGCAGCGGTTTCTTCCCCTCCCTGTCTAGATCTCCGTAGCGCGTCCACTCTACCAGCTGCTGGGACTCCTCCAGTGCCTTGCACGTGGGAAGGCCCCCCTCCCGCCCGAACCCACAGACCTCACAGTCCGAAGAACCGCATTCCGGCTTCCGCCCCATGAACTCACCCGTGGCGTCGGGGTCCCCAGCTCGCAGGTCAACCTTTGGGGACGCAATGGTTTCCGAGAAAGACCCAAGGTTCGACCACATCTTCTTCCACTCGGAGCCTCCATTCTCCACGCTGCACCACCGAAAGTTGCACGCGTCACGCCCCTGCACGTCAACCTCACGAAGCGCAGCCAGGTGATAAGTTTGCTGCGTGTGGATCTTGCACGCGCACTGGTCTGTCTTCGGGGAAGTCAAGCACCTGCAACGCGTCGAGAGGAACAGAGTGCGGCCGGGGTCCGCCAGGACCTCGCCGTTCTCCTCCTTCCAGACCCTTTTGAAGTTGATCCAACCTGGCCACACCAAGAACTTTTCGTAGACTGCCTCACCCTGTCCCTCCACGATGAGCTGCCGTGTCTTTTCGCACTGGGCGACTTGGATTCCCGCCAGATGTCCTTGGACTTCCCCGATGCATGAGATACTTCGTCAATGTGCCAGAACGTTCCCATGAGCTGCAGCGTTTCTGAGGGGGTTGCGTCGCTCCTCTTGGTCCGGGAGTGGAAGTAGTACGCCTTCTCGTCGATTGCCTGAAGTGGAGGAAGCTCAGGCCGTAGCGCTGTCACCCGCCGTCGGGTGACGAGGTGCTCTGGGTGAACGCCAAAGGTCTCGGACTTGCGCTTGGCTGCCACCTTCGAACGCCCGTCTCCGTCGTACGCAACAGCCGTGAGCAACGTCTGGAACGTTCTCCTTCCCTCTTTGGTTCGCCCTTGGATTGCGGCATCGACATGCCGATTGGAGCTTCCTCGCTTCCTCCAGCTGCTCTGGAAGCTTGTCAACGGCGGGCCCTTAAGCTCTGCCAGACACCGCAACAACTCTGTTGTGGTCATCGCTCTCATGGCCGCCACGAATGCTGGCGAGGTGTCACTCCACTCGAATTGCTCTGGTGGCTGGAAGGTTTGAGCGGCAGGGTGGGTCAAGTGCAACGTACAGAAGTGGGGGTGTTAGATATACTCGTAGCATAGTAATGTGGTTGAGTATGGGACATGGATCTACGGAGATTGCAGTTGGTAGATCGCGGAGGAACAGGGAGTTTCTGCTTGGTTTCTTCGGAGATTCGATGAGTGATCTGAATTGCGTGACGGATAGGTGTGGTGACGCACTCTTCGGCTGCTCGGCCTCGAGTGGTCTCTGCCCTTCCCTCTTTCCTCTAATACAAGACTTTCCCATCTCGGCCCTCACTGGCCGAGCTGCCTTTCTCCACAAACCTACAAGCTTCGGCCTACCCGGTTTATCCAACACACCAGCGTTAACGACTTTGTCGAGGGTGATTGGGTAGCGCCGATGGGCAGCCGCATGCGCGGCTGACGACACCCAACCAGACGAAGAGGCCACCAACGGCGAGGGCCTGCACAGCAGCAGCAACCCCAAGACCTACAGCAGCGCCATCGTCAGCTGCAGCCCGCCGTCTACTTGGGTAGTAGGCCCGCTCAGGCACGTGATGACTTTTCAGTTTCCTACTGGACTGTTGTTGGTATGACCACACCCATTGCGGTGATGCGGTACTCATAGTGCCGTCCGATTCTAAACGCGGCAATACGCCGTGCGGTACTGCCGTCAAACGCCAACGCTAACGCCACCTCCACCTCCACCCGGCACGGCCGTCAAACGCTCTCTCCTACTCTTTCTCTAGTATAATCGCGGCAACACGCTGCGCGGTAATGCCGTCAAACGCCAACGCTTACTCAATCAAAACGCGACAATACGTCGTGCGGTACTGCCGTCAAACTCCACCGCTCGGTCAAAGGCCGACTACCTGTAGCACATGGGTAGACCCAACCTAGGTTACCAGTAATCCTCAAAAACTGATGCCAGTTTCTAAACTGATGATATGATGTGTGCGTGTAGCATGGTATTAGAAATAGTATTGTGCGTAATGAAATGCAGTGATCGGCGAGGTTTTTGCTTTGTGATCCTGACAGCCGTGCTGAGACCAACTTTCTCTCCCCGGCAATAGCGTGATCAACGTTTTATCTGGGCTCTCTTTGGTAGCTACTTTTTGAGCAGCAGGTTTAGCCTGATCAAAAATGCGTGATCAACGTTTTATCTGGACTCTTTTTGGGTAGCAGGTTTAACCTGATCAAAAAATTTTCATGTCTTGGTTGTGTCAGCGAGTGCCGGAGACGTGTCAAGTCTCAACGAAGTGCAACATTGGTACCTCCACCTTGTTGCAGATTAAAAATTCACAATATTGACGAAATAAATGCTGATTTCCTAATATTGTTGTACGTTGTCTTGAGATTGCTATTTGTTGTGAGATTGCGGTTCCAAAAGTTGTTAAGGTTTTGACTTAGGATTGATTACCCTATGGTTAGAACAGTAGCAGCAGCTTGATTACTATTTTGCAACAGAGGACTAATCAACCTCCGTTTCAGGATGATATTCAGCTATTTATGGTGTGGCGATATCGCATCGGCAATGAATTTCAGACAAACCATTCCACAAGTAGGGTCCGACGACTTGAACGTGTGTTTCATTTATTGTTTTTTCTGCTGCATGCAGTCACTACTTTGCAGAACCGGGGGGAATGTTTGTATGTTTGTGATTCTCCTCAGTAGTGCTGGTTTGTTCGGAACTAATCTGCCGCCATCATCCCCTCCGAACGCGCGACCTGCCCTGCACCACTGCCGAGTCAATCCTCTCGGAGCGACAATTGTTCTTCCCCCAAGTCAGGCGGACGCAAACATCGAAGCTCGAGCCGCGGCCAGCCGGAAAAGATGGCGGAAGGCGACCGCGGCGGAGGCGTGCGAATTGTCCGCGGGGGGGGAAAACAATGGCTTGGGCAATGGGTTATTAAGCGCTGGAGCTTGATGATGCGCCGGCAAATGTAGGGGTTTCGAGTATTGTTTTGTTTTGGTTGGTATTAGATTGGATTTTGTGTTGATGTTGTCATTGTTTTGGTATTGGATTTTATTTTTGGTTTTTGATTTGGTCTGGACTTTCGGACTGGAACTGTTTGGTAATGGATTTTGATTTGGTTTTGGTATTAGCTTTTCGGATTTGCATAAATATTGTTTTTTCTTGAGCTTTCGACTGGATGGACTTTGAATGTGTTATTTTGGTCTGTGTTTCTGACTCCAACCCCTTCTCAAATCAGGGGGGCAGATCCCCCCGAGAAGAGGGGCACACTATCCTTTCAGGAGGAGGAACGGAAAGCTGATGTTTGGTTTCTGGAGTGTTACAATCAAGAAATATTCGCGTTTCACCTGCGGAAGTTGTCTTGACGTTGACCGAATGTTTTGGGGATATTGTTTGATCGGAATTGTGAGAGTAGCATTCGTTCCTGGTCGCGTTTTATCTGCGAACTGGGTACATTCTGTGTGTTCGGAAGCATCAAAAATGCATATTTTATCCCTTGCGAAATTCATGTTGTCTTGGTATTCATGTAGGATTTGGGGATGACTGTATGCATCTGCAGTATTTCGAAGGCGATTATCCAGGATTGATCATTGTTTTGGAAAAGAATGATGGAAGAGTTCTTCCATAATTATGTTAACATGAATGGGTTGTTTAATGCCTTTGAGACGTAAGGGATGAAATGTATGGCGAATACAAATGCGACGAGATGCAGAGAGAGCAGATGGACCAATAGCAAAGCGTTTTCTGAGTTGAAGGATGTAGTGTGCTAAGAGACGTTTTTGGTTCAGGAATATTTGCATAATCGAGTTTTTGGTTCATTGTTTGTCACGGACGAATAGGAACGACGTTTTGGTTCGTAAGTGGATTTATGTTGCCTTGCCGTATCATTACGATGCATACGAGCAGGGGGGCTGTTAGATATACTCGTAGCATAGTAATGTGGTTGAGTATGGGACATGGATCTACGGAGATTGCAGTTGGTAGATCGCGGAGGAACAGGGAGTTTCTGCTTGGTTTCTTCGGAGATTCGATGAGTGATCTGAATTGCGTGACGGATAGGTGTGGTGACGCCCTACTCTTCGGCTGCTCGGCCTCGAGTGGTCTCTGCCCTTCCCTCTTCCCTCTAATACAAGACTTTCCCATCTCGGCCCTCACTGGCCGAGCTGCCTTTCTCCACAAACCTACAAGCTTCGGCCTACCCGGTTTATCCAACAGGGGGCATTTGGAACCGTCAGCGTTGGGGTAGCAGCAGAAGAGTTCAAGAATGAAAACCTGTGATTCACTTTTTACTTCGATTCGAATACCAAATCTACACTCGCCATAGACAGCAATCGGAAGTTGCGCCAGTGGTGGCATACAACGCATCGAGCGAGAGCAATCCACAACTCTGGAGGAAGAGAAGAAGCCTCGCATCACAGCGAACACCCGTTGTTACCTCCATCAGTCGGCAGGCATCTACGGTAGACAGAGCAGACAGCAGTCTACAACCAAAGGGGTACCAGTACATGCAGGCAACCTTTCGTTTTGTTTTCCCATACAGCAGTACCCTCAAGGTTATTGTTTCTACATCTAGTACAACAGAAGAGGAGAGGGGCTCAAGAGGGGATAGCGAGAGAAAGACAGACAGACCCAGCAGCACCCAGCAGCAGATGATTCTTACCTCTTCCTCAGGGGGGCGATCGGGAGCAGTCGGCCTTGTAACGCCAGCACGAGTCTTCCGCGCGGTGACAATGAAATTCAGCACGCGCCGCAGGAGGAAGGTGGGGCATGAAAATGAATAAAACGGCACGGCTAAATATACACCCCACCGGTGGGGTAATTTCTTAACCACCCCACCGGTGGGGTGGTNCACCCGTTGTTACCTCCATCAGTCGGCAGGCATCTACGGTAGACAGAGCAGACAGCAGTCTACAACCAAAGGGGTACCAGTACATGCAGGCAACCTTTCGTTTTGTTTTCCCATACAGCAGTACCCTCAAGGTTATTGTTTCTACATCTAGTACAACAGAAGAGGAGAGGGGCTCAAGAGGGGATAGCGAGAGAAAGACAGACAGACCCAGCAGCACCCAGCAGCAGATGATTCTTACCTCTTCCTCAGGGGGGCGATCGGGAGCAGTCGGCCTTGTAACGCCAGCACGAGTCTTCCGCGCGGTGACAATGAAATTCAGCACGCGCCGCAGGAGGAAGGTGGGGCATGAAAATGAATAAAACGGCACGGCTAAATATACACCCCACCGGTGGGGTAATTTCTTAACCACCCCACCGGTGGGGTGGTGAAGCCTTAAACACCCCACCAGCTGTATCTCTCTGTGCAAGAATCCAATAGGTGCAGGACTTCAACGGGTGAGCTGCTGCGTTGCAGGGCTGTCATTGGATCCATCGTGAGGCCGAAACGGCACAGTTGTCGTGGTGCCACGGTCGGTGGGGAACATACCGCCGCTACCCCACCAGCTGGATCTCCCTCGACAAGGCTCCAATCGACACACAACCATTTGTGGGAGGGTCTGGTCGATGCACGCACAGCGCACAGCAGCGGGCAGCACCTTGGAGGGCGAACAGGTCAAGAAATCCCGCCGCATGACGCGAAACACCCGACGTCGGTAGCATCCTGTCCTCTTGCAGGCAGACTTNCCTC